AAAAAAGCTTCTGCACCATACATTCCGTCAACGGCGGATCTACACTACGGGCCCCTGTAAATTTTTTTAGTAATAAAGTATATATATATGTTATATGTATATATATATTATTATTTTGCATAAAAAATGTAGTTATTTTAATATAAAAAATAAAAAAAAAATGTTTAGACACATTCAATAGTATGTTATTGTTTAAGTTGTGGAGTTTATGCTTATACTATACTCAATTTATTGTTTGTTTCCTTTTTCTTTCCCAAAATACATAATATTATGCATAAATGTATATACTATATATGGATTGGATCAAATGTATTCCTATTCTTAAAATGAGAATGTGAGACTCAGTCCTAGTCATTAAATAAGGAACAAAGTGCCTGGTCAATATTTAATCTTTTTATTTTTTTAATTGGTTAACTATTGATATTGATTTGACCGTTGACATCCGGCGTTGACCGCTGACCGCCAGTGTTAACCGTTAACTGTGGTTTGTGCTTCCGTTGTCCTTAAAGTCTGCGTCCCTGATCTCCGTAGTCCTCATTTCGAGCTATGCAAAACGAGGGCACTCTCATTCTCATCGTTAGCCCATTATCATTCCAAATCGTTATGAAGGCCCACAACATAAGTAGCATAATTGTGATTTAGTTCAACTTTCAGAGTTTCATTATATGAATTACATATCAATATCAATCACTTTCGAAAATCGAATAATAAAAAACATGCAATCAGTTGGCAATATGCTACAACTAGTGTAGATTTATAGAGTTAATCATGGTTTTAGACTTTCGTACTTGATGGTTTAATCACGGTTTTGAATTGCAGGTCCAACGGTTGGGTTGTGATATTTTTTTTTTTACAAATATATATGCATATACATTTTTAAATTAAAATTAGTATATGCACTCAAAAAATAACATAAATAAAAGCGCAACATTTCATAGCATAAATACATATCATTTCATCTAACGGTTAAACCGTCTCATACAAAATAATCGTAAAAAAAAAATAAAAGACCATAGTTTCAATACAAATTAAAGTAAGTTCAGAACTCTCCAGCTCTAGGGACAAAATATTCGTAAAAAAGATCATAATTTGATACAAATTAAAGTAAGTTCAAACTCCTCCAGTTATCGGGACTAATCGACACATTCAACATACCAATTTGCTACGGAGCCATTGGATGGCTCAAATTATGGAGCAATCCACACTTATTCACCAATAGTGTAGTGACACATATCCTACAATAAATACAATAAGTATTCGATCCTGTGCACATGCACAGATATTTAAATTATTATAAGTTATGTGTATATGTATAATAATAAAATTATAAGTTAAATAATAGTATCACATTTTCAAAATGTTGTCCTTGGTAAAAATGAACATCGTAAAAGTATTCAACTTCATCACTATATTTATTACATAAAGATGAAATGGATAATTATTTTTCATTTAAATTCAACTAATATAGCGTACAATCTAGCAAGAAAAAATTAATACAAAAGATATTATATATATATATATATATATATTGGATTGTATCTGTATTATATCCATAATTAATACTTCTTTACATGTGAATAATCAACATACAAATTAAAAAAATATATTTTTAACCATTCAAATTTAATACTTTAAACATTATCTCGTCACAATACAACACTTAAAGACACCAAATATAGAGAAATAAAAAATGGTAATCCCATGTTACAAACCAAAATATAGTACAAAATAGGTGGATAACTGTATGAAAATTAAAATAATAAATAAATAAATAAAATATGTTGTAACGGTTTTTGAAGAGTGTCATAAAGATTTTTATTAAATAAACTATAGTTTTATTAATTGCTGGCTGAATAAAATTTAATTAAGCTTGTCAGCAATTATAAATATATATATATAGATTTCGACATTTGTCAATATATTAAGTGGTGGATGGCTCCATGAGAAAACCATCCGATGGCTCCATAGAATTTTTTGGCAGCAAAATATTCTATGGAGCCATCGGATGGTTTTCTCATGGAGCCATCCATCACTTAATATATTGACGCCTGTCCATATTGTATTTATTCTAAAACACGTGTCAATACACTATTGGTGAATAACTGTAGATGTCTCCATAAGTCGAGCCATCCGATAGCTCCATAGGAAAACTGATTAAACTTAACCCTGCGCCAAATTAATGTGTCTATTTTCAAACCACTCAATGATCAAAAATAAAATTAAGGTTGTGTTTGTTAAAGAATATACTCAAATCAAATTAATTCTACTCAAAATTAAACTCAAAACTTTAACTCAACCCCACTATTCTCAATATTATCAATTAATTAAATAATAATAATCAATCATTAAATAATAACAACTAATCATTTTTATATATCATATCAACTTTAATTCACTGTTCATCCACTCACATAATTTTCACTAACCATCACATCATTTCATCTCTCTCCTACTTTTACATCAAACCAATTTTAATTATTTTAATTTCAATATTATTTTAATATAAACTCAAAATCTCACTAACAACTAACTACACCACTTTTTCTAAATTAACCATAGTTAATTAAAACAAAATTCACTCAAATTATTCATTTAACAAACACACCATAAGTTTCCAAAACACGAGAATACATCATTAAAANAAAAAAAAAAAAACACGTTACGAAAATGACAACATGAAAAGAAAATATACGCGCCGGGCCCAGGCCCTCAGCGCGTGCAGTTAGCCTCCGCAAAACACCACTTCGGGCTCTTGCCAGTTCTGAACTGTATCCAATGATTCCCCTGCATGATAGTCCCAATCACGGGTAACACATCACTACTCCTCACGAAACCCAAGCACTTAACTCCGGACTTTAATCCAACCACCACGCCTGGCCCGACCGGCTTAAATACCTTCCCATCCCCAAACACAAAATCGAGCTTCGGCCAACTGTGCAACTCACTCTTCACACTGTAGCAATACTTGAGCGGGCTGAACATTCCGGGACTGACCCGCCTCCCGAACCTCGACATCCACTTGTCCAGTGGGGCCACCACCGCCTTGTAGGTCCCACTGGGCAGTGACGTGTACACCTGCACGGTGTCCACGATCCACTTCTCAGGTCCGATCTCGGAACAGTTCTTCCCTGTTGAGCCGAACGCCACTCACATTGACCGCGTAGAACGGGCCGTTGACTTTTGGGATGAGTTCCGTGCACTGTGTATGCGCGGGCCCGGTTTGTGGGCCGAAGACAAGCCTGAAAGACGCGTTGAGGCCCGCCTCGGCAGGGATGCAGTACGAGAACGTGCCGCGGGCGAAGGCGGAGGCCTGCGACGGGAAGGAGAAGGGTCCGAAGCCGAGCGCGAGCACGCCGTGGACGTGTGGGCCCACGATGTTGTTGAGGAGGCTCATTTTTTCGTTGCAGCTGAAGAGCACGTGCGCGACTTGGACGCTTTTTGTTCCCCCTTGTTGTCGGTCGTGTTGATAGTGAAGGTGTCTGTGGCGAACTCACCGGATGTTGACCCGATGTTGTAGCTGATCGATAGACGAATGTTAGTATAGTTGGGATTAATGGAAATAGTGTAAGATTGTGTTCGTATATTTTCAACAAATATGCATATTTTCTAGCTAGGGATGAGCAACAGTGTAATTCAGTGCAAAATCGAACTGACAAAGAAAAAAGGAATCTACCAAAAATATAATAATAATTCAACTGCTACGCAACTTATAGTAAATCGAACCAACATCGTAATGGAAACTTTTTACACTAAAATAATCGAATCGAACAGAACCGCACCGAAATGTACTGACCGGCTCGCCTTTTGGTATTATCTCGACTAATTTGGTGTTGTTCGATGGGAAATCGCACTGAACCGAACAAATACGAAAACCGAATATTTGCGAACCAGAACTGAACTGAAAAATTTTTACATTAAAAAGTCGATCTGAGCCACATCAAATTGCACGGTTCGACTTGGTTTTTTAATTTCGGCTCAGTTATGCTCACGCCTAATAATTTTACACCGAGATGTCATAATTTGAAAAAAAAAAACAAAAACAAAAGTACGACATTTCATAGTATGATCATGTAGTTTTGAATAGATATACATAAGTTAGAAACTCATATATATCATATATACTTTAACAAACAACATAAAAAAATGAGAAATGCTATAATTTCGTTACGGAACTATTTCGTCGGGATTTGTACTGTAAAAAAAACCCTATATTGTTTACTAATTATCCAAAATCCAAATATAGAGAAATATAATTTGTAAATTAACTGTTACCTCATATTATATGCACAATACCCATCTTTGTTGCAAAAGCTGTTGGCGCTAAAGGTCTTGGTGATATTCGGTGGGCAGATCATCGCCGGATTAAGGCAGATGGTCGTGACAAAGGACGTCGAGTTGGCGCCATCGAAAACGCTGTCGTTCTTATTATAGTTTCTTTTGTTTCTGCCGATCGTGCACTTCATCCACGTCAGCTGACTCGTGGGGTCCACGAGCAACCGGACAGGTTCCCACTTAGAAGGAAGATGAGCCGGAGAAAAGCACGGTGAATTGTTATATTTTTGTTTATTTTTATTTAGTTTTAGTTTTTTTGGGGCAAGAATTATTATTAGTGAAAAAGGAGAATAATGAGAGACATATAATGGAGGTTAATTATGGAGTGGATTTAAATTAAGACAAGCAACATTTTTTTATAATTTTTTATATTTGGACACAACAAAAGGCTATATGTTAGGGCTGGTGAATTTCAAAAAAGCATGCACTCAAAGATCTTCCTTATTAAAGATCTTTGTGGTTGACTTGATCAAGCGGCACTAGAGGATTAAAGCTTTTCTACAATTCTTGATCGATATCTAATGTAGTAAGATTTTTAACAGTACAAATTTTGAATTTCTAAGTTTGCTGTTAACAATGATACATTTTTAATTGTTGGTTCGTGTTTATATTTGTATAAAATATTAGTTGTTTATTTTTTGGTAGAATGTTCTTTTATAAAATGTTTCATTTTTTCTTATTAGGATTGAGTTTCAACATTACTTTGAGCGATTATGAAGAATTTGATGACGGCTCAGCTGAAGGTGAAGCTGAAAATGACGCGGATGCTACGTTTATGGCAACTGTGAGCGAATTGAGGCCCAAGAAAAGTGATCCGGAAGGTGTGCCCGAGGTGTCATGACAACCAGTCAGGTATGAAAAAGTCAATTTTTCTCTTTCGAACAGATTTATTTTTATTATTTTTTCTGCGAAGTTTCTAATTTTTTAGGGGAATGGGTGACGGTGATCCGTTGGGGTTGGAATGCCTTTTTAAAAAATATTTGCCTACATTAATACATATGATATAAATATGTTTTTGTCTTGTACATTAGATATAAAGTTGAGATTAAAGGTTTGGTAAATTTAATGATGAAGTTGGACGATATCTATTATCAGATATATGTATATGTACGCTGGCTGTCTGACAGAGAAGAACGAGTTGGTAGGTGAAAATCCGGCAACATTATATTCAACAGATATGCAATATATATATATATATATTAATAACCACCGTATATTAATCAAAATATTAATTTATTATCACGTCACTGAAACAGTAATTATTCAAAACATTCGAAAGAGCAGTGGATATGGAAAAGGAAAACACAAACACAGTAACATATGCCTTACATGGCCTAATTAAAAGCTGATACAACTTTGGATTAGATTTAAAACCGGAAATTTTAGCCCTCGCGGCCGGCCGGCGGGCCCCGGTCAACTGGCGCAACAGCTCGCACTTGCGAAGCACAGCTGGCGTTTGGGCGTGTCGAAGCTGAACCAATGCTTCTGCTGCAGTATGTTCCCTATCACGTTGTAATAAGGCCCCCCATTTTTGACGAAACCCAGGCACTTGACCCCTTGTTTGTAGTCGATCAGCAGCGCCGACTGCTCGGGCACAAACACACTCCCGCCCTCGAAAACAATCTCGAGCAGCGGAAAATTCTTCACGGGCTGGTTCGACCAAATGTGGTAGCAGTACTCGAAGGTATCCGTCTTTGAAGGACGCACCCTCTTAAAACCCGACAACGCCCCGTTTAGGGAACTCATCACTTTCTTGTACGCCTCGTCGTTCAGCGACGTGAAGCTCTGTCCCAAGTCCACGATGGTCCCGCTTCTCCCGTAGTTATCGATCTTCCACGTGTCTCTCGGGATTTTGAGGTCGGCCCCGTTGACCCGGATGCCCTCGACTTTGACTCCGTAAAACGTGTTGTTGACTCTCGGGATTAGTTCGGTGCAGCTCGTGGGCCCAGAGGTTTTGGGCTTCGGGTGTGGGCCGAAGGCGAGACTGCCAGGCACATTGAGGTGGCTGAGGTGGTCGACGAGGCAATACGAGAATAGGGACCCGAAGGTTACGGAGGTCTGACTCACGAACGAGAACTTGCCGGAGCCGAGCCCCAGGATGCCGTAAGAGGCGCCCATGATGTCGTCGAGGGAGTCGGCCGCGTAGGTGCAGCCGACGAGATGATTCCGGAATTTCGCGGTGTTTGTGGTGATGGTCTCTCGCGCGAAGTCGCCGTACGCCATCCCGATGGCGTAGCTGAATATTTTGTATGTATGTAACTAATTGTTATTGTTATTGGAGAAAACATCTTTTTCACCTCACTATATGTAACTTTTTCACCCAAAAAAGTGGGTGCGAAGGGTTATTATATGCGAATAGACTGCATAACTGTCGCATACATTCATCTCATAATGCCTTCGCAATTTAACTTTTTCATCTCAGAAAGTGCGAATAGTTATTATGCAAGTGGATCCACATAACTGTCGCATATTAATCGCACAATGCATTTGTACTTTCTTTTTTGGGGGAGTGTGAAATTCAAAGTTAACTTATTATTAACAGATGATGTGAAAAAATTAATAAATTTTCATGGTGGGATAGAAAAAGACTATTTTCACATTATTATAATTGTGCTAATTGAATCATTAACTGGATCAAATTGTGAGGCTCATCATTCATACTTTATGAATAAAAATGTATATTATGCAGGCCGGCCGACTGACCTAACAGAAGAACTACCAATATACAAGCGACGTGATTTTACCTATAATCGTAGGCGCAATTCCCGGATATGCGGCACCAATCGACGGGGTCAAAGGCATCCTCGATTTCGTTCGGGCAACTCCACGCCTTACCTTTATGGAGGCACTTGACGAGCGCAAAGGAATTTGAATTGTCGGCAAGGAAAAATTTTCCGCCCGTCCAATTCCCGTTCCCGGCGTACGTGCACTTCATCCACGTCAGATCGCTGGCAGTGTCGGCCACCATCCAGAGGTTCTGTGGAGGGGTCCCGACCGCCATCTTGGCGGCAAACTCCCCGGAGTGCATATCGGCAAGAGAGACCAAACCGGTCGTGGAGGACCCCAGCATTCTCCTCCTCTCCATGCGGGCCATGTCTCGAGCGAACATGCGGGCCAGGCGCTGGCTTCGGGCCACGGGCTGGCCACGGGCCAGATGGTCCAGGTGGACTAAGTCCAATACCTGGGCATCGGCCGCCGGGAAAGAGATGATGGCTATTGTGGAGGAGGCCACGAGGAGGAAGACCAGACGCCGGAGGAACACATTTTCCATAAGGTTATTCATTAACTTTATATTAATTATTATTTGCAAAAGTACTGTTTGATGTAAAAAAAAAAAAAAGGAGCGGTAGGGATTTTTGGTATTTTTATCGAATAATTAAATCATGGAATACTTGAGTATATATAGAGGCGGGGTAAAACATTGGTTGCAAGACCCCTACACATTTTTTCAATTGGGTAAATTTCATAATATTCATAAATCATAATTTCATAAAGATTCATAATCATGATATGATCTCAGTCAATTGTTTTGCGGTGCAATATTAATTGTTTAATTTTATTATATTGAAGCGTCTAGATTTGGATATTGACTTGAACCAAAGCTTTTGTAATAACAAAAAAACATGCATGCCCTTTTAGCATAGAAATTATATATTGTTTATAAATTTTAAACATGAGAAGAGAACTCTCTTGCATACGCGTGAAATATCGTAATTATGTGGGATAATTAAAGACTAAGAAAAGATGTGAGACTAAAGTTGAATAGTAGGGATATGCAGACTTTCTATTAGAAATAAGGCGAAAAATTAATGCGCTTAAGCATATTTCAAAAAAAAAATTGCTCCTCATGATAAAATAAATATACACCACGCTACATAAACGTTATCAAATACGTTGGACTGCTGGTAGTCTTAACACCAATTACTTTTTTTCATTATTTTTTGTAAAAGCTAGAAGATATATAACAAAACTTTTTTGTTCAAGTTATTTATTTTAAAATTATTATTTTTTATTTTATATTATTAAGTGTTTTTTTTTAAACAACTAATAACTAGTTTTAGTGACATAGCAAATCATTATTTAAAATCGCATAAGTAATTGTTATAATAATAATACTTTTAATATTTTTTCAATTATTCATTGGTCATGATTATATAAAAAGAACATTATTCGTTGCATTTCATGCAATTTATATATATTCATAGACAAGTAAAATAATTTATAATTATATTATTTTTTTACTAATGATCAAATTTATAAGATGTGATAACTATTATATAACTTATGATATATTTTAAATATAATATGCATATATATAGCTTATAATGTTTTATTTGCATGATCTATTCCAAATTGTATCACAAAGTAAGAGTGGGGTTATATGCAATTATATATGAAAAGATACTAATATTTTTATATTATTTTTCATGATATACAGTAACTTAATTTTTTATCATCCATACAATTTTAGAGTTTATCTATTCCTAGTATCTTAAATTGTGATAATCAGTGACGTTAATTAATTAATAAAAATACATGTTATGGATATTTTGTTTTTCAATCAATGAATGAGGTTTTTTGAGCCAGTATTCCACCAACATGAATAAATAGATATAATTAGGATTGCAATATTTTCATGTAATCTAATTAATAAGGGAGGTTTTTAAAATCGAATCGGTCATTTAATTGGTCGAGATACTAGTATAAGTTCAATAGTCGAATCAGTTGGACCGAAAATTAGTTTATTAATATTTTTAGACATATATAATAATTTATATAATAAAAATTAAAATATTCAAATACTTAAACTAATTAATAACTAACTTATACATATTCATAATTTAATACGCGTTTTTTTCATTTATATTAAAAGTATTTTTAAATATATTCAAATTTATTTTTCTAAAAATTCTAGACCAATCCGTCCTGCATATTTTTAGTTTTTAGCAGTTTCTGATCAGTGTTGACCTATTCAACTTGTCGTTGATCGGTTTTTGATCGGCTTGTTGGCAAGCGTCATTCCAGCAAATCGAGCCGATCAACAAATTGGTTTTCCAATCTAACCGGTCGGCTTTTGAAAACAAAACTAACAAGTCATTTATAATAATATGCTTTTAGGGTTGATGGCTTAACTGCTTATGGCTTACTTAACCTTTAGCATCAAAGTTTTACGTTTTTTTTGTATAGGTCATTTAAGGGTTCTTATTTCTAGTTTTTGAAAAAAAATTAGATCCTAAAGTTTTTCATAGGACGCGTGCATTCGTTGAAGAAGACGATGACCATGAAAAAATGGAAGAGTGAAAGTAAATAGTACGAGGAATTAAAGTCTGAGGATAAGAAATAATTGAGGTGGTCATGAATTTTTTACTCATATATTTCAGATAAAAAAGATAGAGAATTCCATTGCAAGACCTAAATTTTTTTGTAATTATATCATTTTAAAGTTTGAATTTTGTTCTTTCTCAATAGAAGGCTTACATTTTAAGATATTCTCAATTTAAGACTTATTTTTTTAGTTGACTTCTTAGCCCAACTAACTTTGCTTTTTGACATAAATATGTGAGCCGACTATTATGTCAACAAAAATATTATTATTACTTTTTTGTAATTTATATTTTACATACTTATAATAAAAAATAATATATATTTTTAGAAAAATTACATTAATAAGAAAATGAAACTATACAATTTACAATTATGCAAAAAAATAATAATTATTATTTTCATAAACTGATAATTCAAAAAATATGTAACTAAAATATTAATTTTTTAATAATATAAATATGTAATAAAACTAAAAAATAATATTTCGATCTTTCATTTTAGCTTTTCATGATTTTAACTTTTCTTTTTGGACGACAAAGTTGATACCATGTCATTATTGGCTGGAAATGATATATTTTTGTAGACTGTATTTAAATATTATTTTTTAATTTTATTACATATTTATATTACTAATAAAAAAATATTTTCATTACTTTCCAAATTCACATAACAGTGTTTTAAAATAATTATTATTAAATTTTTGCAAAAATGTAATTTGTATAGTTTCATTTTCTTATTAAGGTAATTTGCTAAAGATATCTATTATTTTTTATTATAAGAATGTAAAATATAAAGTACAAAAGAAAATAAAATAATAATAATATTTTCATTGACATAACTATATCATAAAATAACAATAAAATAAGAGAAAATTGTAAATTTGGTCCCAAAACTTTTGCTGTTTCCCACATTTGGCGGCACGCCAATTATGGTCCTTTTTGAATTTTTGTTGCCAAAATGGTCCCACTCCGTCAAGACTTAACGGTCAAAGTTTATAGCCTGGGACCAAATGTGGGAAACAGCAAAAGTTTTGGGACCAAATTTGCAATTTTCTCAAAACGTAAGTGATAAAAACTATTAAATTTATTTTATTAGAAACATTTTTTTAACAATTTTTTAGTAAATATTTAAAAGGTATATTACTATTATTTCCTAACAATACATTTAGTTTATTTTTTAATAAATTATAAAAGATAAATATAACTAACATACAATTCTTTCACAATTTTTTTAACTTAAATTAAAGTTTAACTTAATTTTTTTACATAAAATGATTATTTAATTGGGTAACTTAACAAAAGGTGTATAAAATAATTTTATTAATTAGTTCATGATAAATGAAAAGCAAAAAAAAAAATATATATATATGATATATTTTACTATAAATAAGTGAGAGCAAATGTCTATTTTCACTTAATTTAATGCCAATTTTTTTTCATTATGCTTAAAATTGAAATTTTTTATGTAGATGTAATTTGCATAAATAAATAGATTTTTCAATTTATAGTTGTCAAAATCAAATTGATAAATAAAAAATTATTAAAATAAAAATAGATAATAATAAAAAAATTGTTTAGATTGGGTTTTTTTTTTTTT